GCCCCGTCCTCTTTGTTAAGGGGGCTGCCAGTGAGACCCTGCCTCCGAGACGCGGGGCGTGGGGAAAACGAGGGAGGGAACGGGCCCAGGAGTTAAAAACGCAGAAGCCCAGCGGTCCGGCCACGCCGCAGGCGGTCCCTGGATTCGGCCGTGGGGGCGTCAGTCAACAGCAGACGAGTTGGCCAAAGGGCCTGGTTGGCATGGTTACAGGGCGCGAGACTGGCTGTCCGGGACTTAACCATCGCCCGTGCGCGGCCATGCACAGAGACCGGTTTGCACGCGCGTGCGTGCGTCTCACCCCCCGTGCAAGCGATTCCTTGGGTGAGCCAGGGCAAGAGCTCTCCTTTCCCAGTGGGGCCGAGGGGCGCAGGCTGGCGCAGATGTTGCTGAAGTCCAATCCCACCGCCACGTCAGCACACCTGTCAGTGAAACCGCACCCGGGAGAAGCGTTATGCATGTGCGACATTGCCGGCAGGATGGGGGGGGGCTTGCGGCCGTCTTTCTGCCTGCGTGCCTGGGCCGACGGCTGATTTTCCACACCCTGGCGGGATTGTAAAGTCCAGGGAAAACGTCCATCCGTGTCTACGGAACTGCTCCTGGGAGCAAAGTTCAGCACACGCCACGGGCAGAGAGGGGCCGGCTGTGCACAGGGGAAGTAGCCACCAGTGTGTGGTTTTGTGTGTGTGTGTAACGGTTACAAAATAATCACCCTTGCAGGGCCGACGGCTGATTTTCCACACCCTGGCGGGATTGTAAAGTCCAGGGAAAACGTCCATCCGTGTCTACGGAACTGCTCCTGGGAGCAAAGTTCAGCACACGCCACGGGCAGAGAGGGGCCGGCTGTGCACAGGGGAAGTAGCCACCAGTGTGTGGTTTTGTGTGTGTGTGTAACGGTTACAAAATAATCACCCTTGCAGGGAAACAAGCCGCTTGACTCCGCTCAGGGACCGAGATCCCCCATGGAACAGAAAAGAGGGTTTGGTTTTTTTCTCCCTTTTGCTGTTTTTTGAAGGAGCCACAACTGTTCTTTTGCTGGCAGGAGCTGCTAGTCCCCGACTGGTTTCCTGACGAACTGCAAAGCCTCGACACCCACGTTCCAGCCAGCGCGCACCCAGAAATCTGCATCCGTCCTCTGGTTCCGCCTCTGGCGTTACAAGTCAAAGGGTGACTCGCTCCAGGAGCGCCTCTCAGAGGCCAGGGCTGCGTCCGGTTTCGCTGGCGACTGTTTGGAAAACTGCGGGCGAGTCTAAAAACCCAAACGCGCAAAGAAAAAGATCGTAGTCGACCAGGCCAAGCCCCCCGTCGGGTCCTACGGCGGCGCTGGCTGCGACCCGGCACGGGCTGTCA